ATACAGTACTACTTTGTTGGCCACATAAAAGTCTTTTTTGCTACTTAGTTTGAATAGAGAGGGTCAGAAAATAGTTGTATCTATTATAAAACTGAGTGCATAAAACAAAAAGGAGGAATAAGTTCATTCATCTGTTTGATCCCAGATATTCCAGATCTTAATCATAAATAGTGAAGAGAGATAAAAAATACAGGTCACTTAATTCCAAGATTGTCTACATTCTTCATATACATTTAGGCTTTGAAACTTGAAAATTTTTGCAGCTACATTGTATGGTTTTAGTTTTCTTTTACATCAACATTTTCAGAAGCTTGGCTGTTCACAGAGGATTTTCTTTTATTAGAAGTTCCTAAACAAATGCCTCCTCTTAGTCAAGTTCTTTAGTTTTAAGAGTGTGTCGCTGGTCATTAGGGACATGCACTTTAAACATTTTGTTCAATTTTTAGAGAAGTTCTGAAGAGAAAACCAAAATGATTTTGATGTAAAATGGTCTTTCAAGTGTCGTATTCTATAAGGTAAACCAATGCATTTGTAATACATAACACTGTGAGGATTTCTTTTGTGGCATCTATACTGTTCAGGAGATTACTTTCCACCTATTAGAAATTGAACCACTTCCATTGAAGCAAAAGTTTTGTGATTTAGCAAACATAGTAATAATACTGTCCATTGTTTTTGCAAAATTACAGAAATCAGAACAGCTTTATTTAATGGAATGTAAATAATTTGTTTTCTTTTGGATGTGGGGAAAGAGGGCAACTGAACTCATGTCACTGTTGACTTTCTTGGAGGAGATCCTGGAGGTGGTAAACTTTTGACCTCTCACTCATGAGTTATTTGCTACTGAGATTACTTGTCAGTGTAAATATGGAGGAGAGTTCTTTGACCATTAATTGCTAGTTTAAAATTTGTCTGATTATATTCACAAAGGAAAGGTATGTTTTGCTCTTGCTGCTGAAAATTTAGTAATGAGGTGCATTTGTCTGTTTGCTGCAAGTTAGGCAGGAAAAGGACATTAATAGATTTACTTCACTAGGTGAAAACATATTTTTCAGTTGTAAAAATGTGTGTTTTTACAATTGTGTGATCAAGCACACACAAAAGATATGCAAGAGAACACCTTAACTGGCAAAGGTAGTAGAGTCAAAACCAGCACAGTCTTACAGATAGCCTTCTTGTAAAATACTTGGGACATTTCAAAATTAGAGCAGTGAGGACAACAGAAGACACAGATGTGGAAAAACTTGCATTTGGAAATAAATTAATTTCTTTTTCTTATGAATATGATATAGTAATACTCAAAAATGGAAAAAGTATAACTAGTAGATGCTTTTTCTTGTTGTCAGCAGTAAGGCAAAGGATTGCTTACTGTTTTCAGATTCACTCCCATATTGCTTATCATAGTCAAAACTAAAATTTTAAAACATTAAAAGGTTATTAAATTTATTTCAGTATTGTCTTTCAAGATAAATACCGATTTATTTCCTCCTCTTCCAATTTTGGGGTTTTTTCCTAGAAATCTCTAGTTCATTCGGTTTTTAAACTATTTCACCTTCTGTTTGTTTGGTAAGTTTAATGGTAGAGGTTTTCAATCCCAAAGTTTTACTTTTGACTAGACCAGCACTGAGTAAAGCAGTAAGTGTACCTAAACAAACTTATCAACATTCTGTGTGTCACTGATGAGATTCAAACTGGTAGAGTGTACTTTTCTTCTGTTTCTTCAGTTCATCAACTGAAACTGATGTTTGTGGAGATTTTGACTGGTTGTGTCTGTTTTGCATTTCCTGACATGAAGGTTGTGTCATCTTTCATTGCAATCAGGTTTTATCAGTGTTTTATCAATAGCATTGAGCCAAGACTACCTCTTGGCTCTGCATGCCTCTAGGTAGTGATGCTCTGTCAATAGTTGTTTTCACAGACATCGTGCTCTTTCTTGATCACCACTTGCTTGACAAAAAAGGAATAGCTTTTGCCTTTATCTCAACGATGGCCTCATCAGAGGCCTGTCTCTGGACAGGTTAGTCCTTCTTTCAAACATATAAATCTATGTGAAGAAGTGAGTATGCAAAAATTCCAGACTCCAAAAGCTTTTTAAGATCACAGTATACTCTCTTGTTAGGGTAACTTAAGTGTGCTTTGACCTTTTGCTAGTTCATGAGATCTTTCAGGAAATCTTAATTTCTATAGGCAGTGATACAAATTGTGACTTGATGGCTGGATGTGGTAACTCTGCTGTGGTCAGTTGTGTGGCCAGAAGGGTAACTGCTGTGACAGGTGGAACACATTTAATCTTATCTCAGGTGACATTAATAGTCTGTCTCTGTTCCTGGCATCTTAGAGCTGCTGCTGCAAGAGCACCTTCACTCTTTCTTGACAGTCTGTGCTTTGGATAATAGCACTTTGATTTTTAACAACCTAGGAGCCTTGGGTACCTTGGTCCTAGAATCCTGTTAGGAGGAAGGTGTTGGTGGGGAGGATTGCTTGGTGTCACCCACAGTGTAAACTTATATATGAACAAGAAAAATGTTTTTCTTGTTTCTGTAACTATTGTTCTCTGACATGTTATTTTTGTGTGTTCAAGAGTTGTTCTGCATTTGTTCATTGGAGTGCCTGAAAGAGTCTTAAAGTCTTTCTCAGCTGTTGAAATCCTAAGAGGGGAGAAGGCTGGTTTTTTAGGGCTTTGTACAGAGCGTACAGATGTCTCAGTCAAGTAAATACAACCCTTGGGATATTAGTGAAGGAAAAATTATCTGGCTTTCACAATTTAAATGGATGCATTTGGAATGAGAGTGGAAAAACCTACATACAGATAACACAAGAGTAACAGTTACAATGTAGAAGATCTTTTAATTTTTAAACTGATCAAGGCTAAAGACATTTTCAAGGTCCCTTTATATGGAAACAGAGTTCTTTCTATGTAAATGAATTATGGATGAGATCTGAAGATGCATACTTCAGCAAGTAAGGTAAACCTATATCCCATAATGAACAAATGTATTTTGAATTTGTCACTCTAATGCGTATCAGTCTAAAATTAATTTATTTGCCTCTGAAAATATCTGATCTTGACATTCATCAAAAAGAAATAACTGATCAAGATGGTTCATAGGTTTAGCAGCCTTACGTTAATTCTTAAGTTTTATATTGTTAAATTATACCATGAAATGGGTTCAGGGGAGCTTACAATCAATTATGTACTTTAAAATCAATTTAATTGAAGACTGCAAATTAGCTCCTTGTCATGTGATGATGGTATTTTAATTGATGAGTGCTTTTAATATTTATTTTAGTGCCTTAGATGCAATTCTGTCTCTCTCTGTGTTTGACTGTCTTTGAAATCTAATTTCAACCTTACATGTGCTAGTTTTGTAATGTTTAACATCAACATGTCAGCATCCTGAAGGTAAATTAGGTGGGCTTAAGAGTACCCTTATCAGTAATTAACTTAATAGTAATGTGTCACTTGAAACCCACATAGAAATTCTTCCATTTGTTATGTTCAAGTTTTGTAGTTGTTCTTAAGTTTTTACTAATTCCTTCAGTTTTGTTAGGACTTTCACTTGGTTGTTCTTTATTGAAAACTTGAATACCAATATGCTAGATCCTTCTATACATTGTAATAGTAAAAATAGACAGGCACTGGAGAGCACAAGTATTTTATTTTTCAGGGAGAGTGTCTTTAAATGGTTAGGCAACCCAACAGCTTTATCATTCAAAAATAAGTGAGCTTTGCAGTCCCAAATAAGGAATGTGTGCTTCGTCTGGTTTGAACACTCAGTTGTATATAAAATAGGAAATACAACTTTAAAAATCCAAGAAAACTTAAATTATGGCACTCACCAGCAGAATCTAAGTTTTGTAGAAAGAGATTGAATTTTATTAGACAAATTGCTAATAGATGGAAAAGGCAGACAAGCTTGTGAGTCTAAAATGTTTTCTTCTGCGGCAACCATCAGGATAAGTGCAATGTGATAGCAATTGTGTTATATTCATGTTTACTAAGGTAATTTGAAGGGAGAAGATTCTCTCTAGTGTATGAAGAGGTGCTTGGGAGGAGCAAGATGCTAAAGCTGTGAGGCAAGTTAGGATTGCTTGCAAGAAGGGCATGGGGTATTCCATAATAACTACCTCAGGACAATATTTGGTGGAGTTATGGCTTTTGATTCTTAAATTCTGCATTTGAAAGTGTTTTGTAGGACTCCCTTAACAGTCAGAAGTGAGAGAGGAATTTTTTTTGTGGGAGATGTTCTGCATTTGATTACTGAATGTTTCTGGCTATTTTCCCTTCTCCGCGTGTGTTAATCCTAGCAAATAATGCTTGCTCGTGTTAGCTCACAGTTTCATGAAGCCTATAAAGTTCTGCCATGTGCAAATCTAAAACTCACAGTTTTTTGGTAGTAAAAAGATAATTATTAATCAGAAGATGTTATTCATTCATGTTCAAGATCTTACTAAAAACTGGCAACTCTACTTGGAGGGGAAGTTTGATAAAGTCTGTCTTGCCTGATGTAAAGATCAGGTTTGTGTAAAGATCAGTGTTTGATGCTATGTATGCATATACATGGAGATAGTAGGTGCTTAGTACCATTTGCTCAAGGCTTTTAAGGATAACTGGCTCCTGCTACATGAAGTTCCATTTATACACATACACTCTCTCAAATCACTTCCAAGTTCCTATTTGGGTGAGTTGGAAGTGAGGTTGTGGTAGTTTATAAAACCACTTGATATTGCATAACAGCAGTACAAACATCAGTTTAAAATGAGTAGGAATAGTCATTGGGGGAAAATAAAATGTAAATCTCCCCAAACTATCTCCTAGTATCTCTGCAAGGCCAAACCTTACACTTTGCTGTCACTGCTCACTCTCTATGGGAGTCAGTATATGGTTAAATGATGAGTTTGACTTTCATGTATGTTGGGGGGCATTGCATTGTTTGCTTAAGAGTTCTGCTTCAGATAATGACTTGCTGTGTTTTTTGTGTGTTTTGTATCATTTCAAGGTCGTTTGTATGCAATGCAGACAGGGATGAAGATTGACAGTAAAACGCCAGAATGCCGTAAATTTTTGTCCAAACTTATGGATCAGTTGGAAGCTGTAAGTAGAATTTATTGCTTTCCTCAAAAATTATCATAATATTAATTAATTTTTATTTAAATTTCTGGAAATGCTGTCTCTTCTCTGCAGCTATTCTGCATGCAAGCATAGTGCATGAACTTCAGTTGTATGTAACAAATTGCAGAAGGGTTGGAAGGAGATAAAGCTCTATGTGTGTATGCAGGCACAAATGGAATTGAAATTTTGCCATAAGATTTTGTGTAGACAGCATAAATTAAAATGATTTATTTATACATGTTCTCATGACAAATCTTAATTCATTAGGAAGTTAATGCAGGTGTTCTAGAAGACTTTTTAAAATTAATTTACCTTTGATTCTTTGAAGTCTGTACAGTTATTTTCACTGCTGTAGGACTTAATAGCCTAGTCCTGGGATGCTTTTGAAATCTCTAACCTAAACTATTGTATCCAGGGAGTTTTTAAAAATACTGTTTAAAAGATAAAGATACTTCTGATTGTATCCTGTGTTAGAGATTGGAGATTTTATTTTATAAAATCTTGTAAACACAGTCTATTCTGTGTGGGTAAGGGATAGCTATGCCATGCTCTTCTAAGTGGACCTGATACTAATTGAAAGCCTTAAGTAGAAGAGAGTTTAAGAAAAGTAAAGTTGTGGTACAGATGATCAGTTTAAGTTCCAGGAGTTGTTTATGTTCATACCCTGTAGTTTTCAGTGTTCTCAAAGGAAGAAGTTTGTTGATTCTAAGGTCTAAGCGCTCATTTGGAAGCAGAAAGTAGTGTTGAAAAATGAAGCAGCAGTTCTTTTTTTGTTCAGTACTGGTGATTCCATCCAAAGTCTAGCAGTGCCTGAAGAGATTGTGTGGAACTAGTATAACAGCCCTCACTTTTGAAAGATGGATCACTTGGCCACAGAAGTATTCAAGGCCAGGTTGGATAGGTCCTGAGCAACCTCTTCTAGTGAATGGCATCCCTGCTCACAGCAGGGGAGTTGGAACTGGATGACCCTTCAGGTCTTTTCCAATCCAAACCATTCTGTGATTCTTCAGAAAAAAATTGAAACATGAAACATTTGTCTTTTTTTTCATAACTTGTACTTCTTGCTTTTTTATCACTGATTTTTTGCAATGGAAAATTCAGTGTACAGTGATTTCTTGGTGTGTTATTTAATCAGATTTTGACATCTTTAATAGGACTGGGGTTTGTGTTCAAAGGGAGAGAGAGATAGCAGGAGAAGTGAGATTAAAACTCAAAAGGATTTTGCTGTTCGTTTCCTAAGAAATGTTGGGATTTGCTGGGTTACTTGTGGTACTGCAGCAGTTTATCTGCAGCGTTCAGTTACCCCTTCTGTTTCAAAATTGAAAAGAGTAAAAAAGCATCAAAAATCTATAGTTTCACCTTTTGGTTACTGGTAAGATTGTCTGGGTGACAACTTATGCAAAGGTATTGAATATTCTTCTATGTATCCGGGTGGGTGAAGGATGGAGAGAGCACTCCTAGTCAAGTCTAATAGAGTAGTTTTGGGGCTAAGAAATTGGGGTTTATGGAAAAGCTCCTGCCGTAATTTAGGAACTGCTGTTTTGAGTCTGCCCATAACCACCAGGGGGCGCAGACGGGTGCGGTTTAATTTTTTTTAAGATTAAGCCTAAATGCCTTGAGTTTTAGTTTGAAATTTTGTATCGATGTTTAAAAGACCAATACTGCTATATTGAATCATAGATTGTGTGAAGCATAATTTCAACAGTAAACAGCTTGGTTAACACTTTAGTACTTTTAGAAGTGTATGTAAGTGTCAGTTGTGTGTTTGAAGTAATTGAGCATCAGATCAAGTATAGTAATCAGTTCTTTTCTGAGAGTGAGGTATACAGATAGGTTAGGGAAATATATGTGTATACAAACAGTTTTCTTCCTGAGTTAGCTTCAGTGTCTTGAATGTTTCATTTGAACACACGAATTTTGGTACTTTAACAAGAAAATTACACTTTGTAAAACAAATACTTTTTGAAAACTACATAGAGTAGTTTGATTAAAGCCTTTAAATTTAAAATTCTATTTGGAAAGCTTATATTTAACTACTGAAATGAAGTAACATTTCTGGCAACATTCTATGTCTTAGAAAGTTGGCAGCAATCTAAAAAATATGGAAATACTGCCTGCATGATTAAAATTTTCTTCGCACGCACAGTGAAAAATAACTGCCATTCAGAGATTGTTTTTAAATCTTTTGGCAAAATAAAGGCTGCAGGTTAGTATCATGCAGTGTTCCTGTTTTTGTTCTCTAAGGATAACCTGAGATTTCCTTATGTGCAAACAGTAAGCCTATTCAGAAGCTGTAAATCCACCTGTTGTAACTGTTAGAGGGCTGTGTGCTTTACTGATTTTTATTAGGAAACCTGAGGATTCTAGTACTCTACATCTTTGAAAAGAGTTCTTTGAATTGAAATACTGTGCTTACACTGAAAATTCCAGTAAATCCATAGGTCACCAGGCAGGTCAAGGCAGGGCTCAGATACTTTGAAAGATGTAATGAACTGCAGTGAAATAACCTCACAAGAGGAGATACATGATGACTCTGATCTACAGCACCTTTATAAAGCATGCATTACTTTACCAGTTGAACTGTGTTGAATCTTGACACAAGCTTCAGAGTGCTGGGTCTTTAAGATGCTAAGGGGAAAAATATCTGTTGCTGTTCCTTCATGACATTGTAGCTGTGTTTATTTTTAACCTTGGTGAAGAAGATATTGGGGTGTTGGTGGTTATTCTAAGCATTTTGTGACTGAAGATTCAGAGCTACTTATTCATAATGTTTCTCTCTCCCCAAGAATGTGCATTCTCTTTCACATGCTGCTTTTAGCATTTGTTATGTTAGAAGCTGCAGATTTGTAAAACAAAGTGTAAGTTGTTTCTTTTTAAATTGTACTTGACTGTGTAAATCAGCCAGTTCTTTCTGTGTTTGCAGAATTGCTAAGGTCTAATAAAGTAATTAATGTATTTTTCCAACATTTTTCAGATGAAAAAGCAATTTGGTGATAATGAAGCAATTACTCAGGAAATTGTTGGCTCTGCTCATGTGGAGAATTATGCCTTGAAAATGTTTTTGTATGCAGACAATGAAGACAGAGCTGGGCAATTTCATAAGTAGGTGAAAATCTTTTTTTCTTATCTGAAGATACTGGTCAGGGAATGTGAATATCCAAACTCTTTAATTTGAATGGAAGCAAGTATTGAGATTTAATACATTCTTTTCTCTTCTGGAAAACTCAATTTGTTACTACTTATAGGTCTCTAGCATCGCACATTAACTGGTATCCTCCTCTTTATATTCCTTAGGGAGTTGCTTACCTACTGGCAAGCCTTCTAAAACCACATGCTAATACTGTGCTTTATTTTATCAAGCATATTATAATTTCTATTGACCAGTGATAGTAGAATAGTTGTGATGATCCATTATAGATTTGGTTTACAGCAATTACTATGGCATGTTCATGTATTTTTCTAAGCTAATACAGGATTTCTGATGTCCTACAAATTCCAAGCTAGAAACTAAGTGCAGAACACGTAACCAGTTTTAAAAAATGCTGAATATTTTCTGCATAGTAGTTAGGAGACTAATCAGTATTGCTAGATTTAAATGTTGTGAAGCACCTTCTGTAACATCAGATTAAAAGAGAAAAAAAAGCGATGTTTGGCTTGAAATAAGCCAGTATGATCTAAGATTACAATGCATAAAATGTGATTCTGAGAGAGTGACATTGCCAAGTTAGAAAAATGCTTTCTTTTTTTGCAGAAACATGATAAAGTCCTTTTATACTGCAAGTCTCCTGATAGATGTTCTAACAGTATTTGGGGAGCTCTCTGAAGAGGTAAGTGTCAGGCATGTGAGTGTATTATCTGATTGCTTTTCCAAGCACAGACATCACTTTTATACATCGTGAATATGAATTTCAAAGAACAGTGTAGCCAAATACTTGTTAGAAAGCCATAAGTATTTCAAATAAATTGTAGATTTATATAGAAATACTAGACATCTGTTAGAAGATGCTTCATGACAAGTACCAATTAGAAACTCAAAGTTTAATTTTTACTGTGGGACATATAGCATTTCATTGAGCAAGTGGGAATGCTTATAGGGGGAAAAGTAATGCAAGGTTCCTAGCTTTGTCCACCTTCACTTTTTTCCATGTCCTGCTTGAAATTCACAGGCATGGCATCCTGTATGTAAATCCCCAATCTGGTAAGTGTGCCTAAAGTGCAGTTGTACTTGCTCAGTTTAAAATGCAGTTGTTGTGACTACTTTCATTTGTAAATATTGGAAAGAAGGTAAGGCATGGTCTTAATAGTGATGCACTTCTGGAATACTACAGGATGTAAGTGTAGATACTAAAGATAGGTCTTACCCAAGAGAAATGCTTAGTGAAGAGTTCTTGCAAGATTCTCCATCTTCCGTAGCCTGAGACTCTATCAAAATACTCATCTTATTGAGAGGCACAAATAAGTTTGCTTTTTGATGTGTTCTCTTAAAACTGTCTGCTCTGTGCCCTGACATCCTTTACTAGATCCAGTAATAACATTTCCTAGAGCCAGAGAGTGAATGCATATTTGCACATTGAATTGGACTGAAAAAAAACCATCTTAGTCTGTAGGAATCCAGTGCACAGGACAGTGCACTGATCAATTGACTCCTCAGAGTACGTGAAGCAATCCTGCTTTGAAGATGGAAGAAATTGTTACAAATGTCAGTGCAGAATGCTAGCAGTGGTACATTTTCTGTTGTGTGTTGGGGTTTTTTGTTGTTGATGCTGAAAGGACAGAAATGCTTTGTAATTGGAAAGAAGCAGAATACTCTCATTTTGTTTAATTGGAGAATACCGATGGTAAAGGAGAGTGTACAAGAAATACAGAAAATATTTGCTCCACTGTATAGAATCATTACATTTCAACAGTTTATTTATCCATTCTCATGTAAAGGGATGATGGGAGAAGTATGACTTGACTTGTCTTAGACTTTTGCAGAAGTTTTTTTCAGCCTAAGTTGAATGCAGCCTGACACCTGCTTATAGAGCATGACCTCTGTATTCAGACCACCTGCCTATTTTTTCAATAGATAGTTAAAATTGCCTTCATATGTGGACTATCAATTATGAAAAGGCTTTTAAAGCAACAGCAGAAGGCATAGAAAGCAGATATTTGACACCTAGAATCAGAAAATGGGTGTTGAGCATAATATGTATGTTTTTAATGGCAAGTGATTGATTATTGGGTAGTATGAAGGGATTCTGTCACAGATGAAGAGTGGTTGTTCTATATCTCCATATTAGACCTAGGCAAAAGGATTTTCTGGAAGATTTAGTTTTACAAGACACAGCTTAGATCAGAGCAGTAGGAAGCTCTGCAATAGCAGCATTCTTTTCATTTACCTCAGGAGTAGCATTCATTCAATAGGGCAGCCTTCTGAAAGGGGGCAGCAGTGCATGTTAAAAACAGACCAAACCAACAGCATTTCACTTCTCAGTTCTGGAACAATAAGCTTTGCAGTGGGGATGCAGGACAGACATCAAACACTTTGTTCCATTCTCCTCTCTCCATCCATCATCTTGGTGCCAGGGTTGGGAGTGCTTGGCCTGTCCTTAAATATGCTCTCCCAAGGGCACCACCAGATAGCCAGGGGCCTCAGCTGTGCCCCAAGGTGGCTTCACTGGGGCTGTTTGATCCAGTGTGGGGCAGCCCTGGCCTGTCCTCACAGACACCACTCCTGCTATGCTGAGTTGCCAGCACCTGGGATGGACACCTGATGCAGCTGCATCTTCACACTTTGTCAATAAATAATCACCATATTAGAATAGGGGGAGATGTACACGCTCTTAAATATTGCATAATAATCTTTCCTAAAAGTAGCATGCTCTGGGTATGTGTTTTCTGCATTTTGTGGCTTCTAGAGTGTTTGTTAAAAATGAAGGAATTTAATCTGTAACATTGACTGACCAGAAATGATTATTAAAACAAAGTTTAACAGAGAGCCATGTTTTCCAATTGCACTTTACCTTTTTGAGGTAGAGTGAATGCATTTTAATAAATATGTCATCAGAATAGGCTTTTTTTCTGGAGAACATCTTGTTTTCAAAAATGAAGACCAGATCTTTCTCTTGGATTGTGTGAGCATCCTGGGTGATACAATGTATTAAATATGAGCAAGGGAGCTTGCTGGAGATACCTTTTGTATTGTGTCTCTCTACCCTGTTCTAGATGACAGTTCAATAGGCTTTGTGAAGTACAGTATTGAATTTCAGTTTATTAATTTCTTAGAAACTTTGGATTTAATTTTCAAATTCATTTTTAATTTTTTAAAATAAAAAATTAATTTTTAAAATTTTGGCATTGGTGTGAACTGCAGTCTCCCACCCTGCATTGTTCATTTGGGCAAATTATTCCACTCATCCTCCCACATTTCTAACATTTATATTCAGCCTTGATCCTTGATTTATGTTACCTCATAACTGTCAGAACTGGTTGTTTCCCATGCAACTGTTGGCAAAACATTTGATTTGCATAATCAGTTTAATATTTCTTGCATCAATTGACAGCTCTTCCTGGATTAAACACTATTGTAACTGCCCAGGAGATACAAAGTGGCCAATCTTCCTTTCATGTTTTGACATGCTTAAATTGTACTTAGGAACAGTAAAGTATATTTTAAAAAACAAAATGGAAAATCTTAATGCCATAGAATATTACCAACAAATCACATTATTCTGCAGTTACATCAGCCTTTCTGTGTTCATGCTTTTAAATTAAATTTTAAATTTTTAAATAATATAATTAGAGGAAATTCCATATTTCTGATACTCAGCAGTAGCATTTAAAGTTTCAAGTATTTAAATCTAAAGTAAATAACCATCAAAGTTTATGGAGATAGGAAGCTTTCTTCATTATTTCATTTCAGTAATTACTACACAGTGCTATGTCTTTCATACTAGTTTTTCTTGGTATCATTTATTTCCTTTTCCTTATATGCTGCGCTAATTGAAGATCTCCACATTTTCCTTTCATGCTGAGATCTTGTTAGAGCTGTTATTTTAATTATTTTTTGTAATTCACCTATTAATTTTACATGTTTATCTTTAAAAGGGTATCAAATGACAGCAGAGAAAGTGGAAAAGATGTTTGTATTTCTGCTTTGAATGCATTAATTTGCAGAAGTGAGTGGTTAAAATGGCTGGCCTTTTCCCTCCCCCAGAACGCCCAGCACAGGAAGTACGCCAGGTGGAAGGCAGCATACATTCATAACTGCTTAAAGAATGGAGAGACTCCTCAGCCTGGCCCCATTGGAATGGAGGGAGAGAGTTTTGGTATGTGTTTCCCTTTTCCTTTTAAGAGAGAGGAAGGCTGTGCTAAGGTGAAGTGGTGGTATGCACAGTTCTTCAGGGAGCACCCCTCAGGAAGCACGGCTTCCCGGCTTGATGTTCTATTCACAATGAGCTGCCTTCTTTTCAGCTTCTCCTGCTGTTATTTTTATTGGACCTTACTGTGTGATTGACTTATTTAATAAAATATTCTTTTTCTTGTTGTGGAGATTATTATTTTGAATACAGCTATTCTCTAAGAAGGTATTGTCAGCTTCAGGCCAGAACCATACATTTCTTTAACATTAACCACAGTTCCTCTTTTAAATCTGTTCTGTAAAGTTGTGATCCCTTTGCCAGTTTATCCTCTCTCAGAAGTTAAGTAGGAGTTAAAAGTGGACTGATGGCAAGTGAATTCAACTTCAGAGCAAAGACCTGCTTGTGAGACAACTCCTTCCTCCCTGTGTAATAATGTCAGTTTCAAAACAGGTTTATGGTTTACTCTTACTGAGTTGGATTTCTGCCTCTTTCTCACTCATCCTCCTTTTCTTTGCTTCCCCTGGCTACCTGAGCTCCCTGTACAGGATTCCTTGAGGTTCCCACTTTATGTAACAGTTAAGGAGATGATTTCCAAGGACATCCACTTAACCAAACTAAATGTCTGTCAGAACAAGTTGTTTTGCTTTAGATCATGATCAGTTTCATTGGTTTTGGTAGTGACCAGTTTCTTTACTTTTCTCCTCAATGCAGATTGAATACAAATTTCAAAGGTTGATCTTTTATGAGATAAGATGTATTGGAATGGATATTTTCACTATGCAGATTAAAATGGACTAATTCTGCACAATGACAACCTCTGTATATCATTCTTCACATACCTAGTGGAGCAACTGAGACTATCAAATAGTTTGTAATTTTCTTCTGAGCTGGCACGTGAGACTTTGTGGCTTGTCAATTCAGTTGATGCTAATTTATCTCTTAAGCTTAGATTTAGTAAAACAAATTTTTCCAAATTAAAAGGGTCAATAAACAAATCTACAGTGTGAAAGGGAAAGATCTACCTTGTAGAGTATCTATCTGACCTGTAGAGCCACCTTAGAGGGGTGGCTACATGAAGTTTTCTGATTGTATATATAAATATAGATGACCAGTGTATTTATACTTGTGCACACATACGATATATAAATTAATATAAAGTAATATAAATATTGCTTTTAAAAATAAATTATGAGTAGGCTTGTAATTTTCTACTTAGTACTTTTGTTTTAAACATGTCAAAACATTAGCAAACTAGTTTCTTCTCTGGTTCTCAGTCTTTTCATCATGTAATCTCACATTTTGATGCATCTCCACATTGTCATTTATATATCCTGGACAGTGTTACATTAAAAAAAAAAAAGGATATGATCATGATTTTTTTTAAGGAGAATGTGAACCAAACATCTATTTCAGTTTGTTATTATCTTTATAGTGTCTAAGAGCGTGGGTGCCAAATATAATTTATTTGCAATTTCCTGGATAAAATACTGTTTATATATTAGTGCTCCAGGAACACTGCAACACAAGTAAATTCAAATATTTGTGAGCAAATACCGAGTATGGTAGTTTTATATCCAAGCTACGTGTTTGTTCTTGTTATTATGTTTTCCTAACCTAAAGGCACCCTACAGACTTAAACACTGGCATGGGTATCTTACCCACTGAAATGTGCTCCAGTATAGGCACAGCTGTATTTGAAGTGAGGCATTAGCAAACTAATTTCTTCTTCAACATAGCATCTTCTCCAAGGCAGTTTCCTTAGCTGTCCATGCATCTGTAGCCAGAGATACTTATGATGCAGCTCCAGCTGCAAACATCACTTCATCTTTGTCAAATTACAGCAGAGTAATGATTTAATGGAGAAAGCAACACGTGAGAGAAAAATCTCTTGTTATATTGAATGTAATGAATAGTTCAGTTAAATATTTTCAGCTTTAAATAAGTGCTCTTTTAGTGGTCTGGCTCATAGTGTGGTAAAGCTGACCTGAGTATGTGAAGCGATCTATGAATTTTAAACAAGTGCAAAAATAGAATTTCTAAGTAAACATTACAAAACTTTTGCTAAAAATCCATGTGTGCAACTTGTAGAAGCTAATTATTTCTCAATAGAGCAACAAATAGGCTTTTTCTTCATTTTTATTTATTGCACAGAAGTAACTGACTTGCTCAAGGCTACAAAAGAAACTGTTGTAGGAAGGAAAGCAGAATTCAGGCTTTCCTCAAATCCCTGGTATACATTCATTACAGGTGGTAATGGGAATTGGTGAAGACACTTGCTTTCATTACCAGGTTATGTCTTACATGCATGTTAAAAGGGACACAAATGCTGAGCAAATCAAAATTTTAACATCCTTTTTGACAGGGAGCCTGCAAGATCTGTAACTTGACAATATGTTTTTTGTTTGTTTATTTTGTTGTTGAATTGTATTTCATGTAGAGAGATTATTTCTCCCATTCCTAATTTTCTAAGAAATTGAATAAAAAATACATATTGGTGTTTATTTTTTATGGTTAGCTCCATGGTGTAGGTGTCCATAATGTCTCACATAATCAAGACAAAAATTTTATGCAAATTAATTTTTATGAGAAGAATCAGTACAAAAGAGTTTCAGTTCCTCTTTATGCATCATAAGAAGAAAAGCAGTATTGTTTGAATGTATGACTGGACCTTCCCCATTCCTTTCTGCTTGCTCATTTTCTTCCTCCCCTCGCATGTGGAAAAAGTCTGTTTAAACAGAGTGAAACTAGGTCTCTGTAGCTTGACAAATTACCATTTTTTTCCAAAGTGGGTTTTTTTTTTTGTTTTTGTGATTCTTGAAAACCATACTGTAACTCTTGGAGATGTTTTTACAGTACATAGGCATGCTTTATGCAGTTCTGCTGTTGGATTTATGGATGCTTTTGTCAGGATGCCACCATGGAAACCTTAAAAGACATGCTTAATTTATTAATGCAGTTGGAATAGAAGTCCTAGAATACACATAAAGATTACTTAGCATTAGCCCTAGGTCATCCAACAAGGTTTTACACTAATGGAAAAAAAAATGGAAATGAAAAAAGTTCCTAAATAGCCATACTATAGCCATAGTAAATACATTCAATTTAATCACCTTTATTGCAATATATAATATGTAGGCTACATTTCCATTTCAGAATTTCAGAAAACCGTAATAGTTCCAACTAGTAAAAAGAACAGTGTGGGAAAAGTTGATGGATATTTGAGTTCTTTTCTCAATGTTGTGGAAAAAAATACATGGTTGGTTTGTTTTTTAAAAGCAGTGTTCAAATAGAACCTTACATTGTGAATCTTTTGGCAACATCTCAAGCAAAAGAGAAACAACTCAGCAGAATGAGACAAAGAAAAAAAAATTATATTGATTATAATTATCTGAACTCATGAAAAACAGGAGTCCAGAGAACTGGAGGAGTTTGGACTCCTTAAAAAAAATTTTACTAATTTTATATTTAGTGCACTGAGCTGCTGAAATTAAGTCATGCTTGATGCTTGCTTGCACTAGAAAAGGGAATGCCATGAAGCCTTGAGAATCCTCTGTTTATGTAAAAGTATCTTTGGATGGTTGGTTGTGGGGCTGCACTGATGATTTCACAAAATCTTGCCTTCAGTAAATAAATAATTTTAAAAAACACAAACAGGTGGTCTGGGTATACTGTAGCTCTGCAGAAAATTTAGAGAGCTTGTGAATTCTTTATGCTGGGATTCAAGCACAAAAGCTGATGAGGTTCCAAGACAAAAAACTCAGCTGGAGCTGAAATGAAATGTAAAACAATTGTGTCACTGTTTCACAGCCTAGTTTCAGCATTTTTAAGGAATTTTTTTAACTGTAAGGAACTTTGAATTCTAGGTTATTACTGCTGCATGAGGAAATAATTTTCTAATTTTGTAGCATTCTTTCTCATTCCCTGGAAAAGATTTTTTTTTTCAATTATGTTTTGGACATTCTAACCATAGAATTTAAAACCTCTGTTGACTTAAATGTTCTTTTATAGCAACCTGAAATACTTCTATCTGGCACTACTGTTAAAAACTATTCACAAATACGGAGAGTGGATATCTTAAAATGTTTCTAATACTTTAGTCTTTGATAAAGAATATTTTAAATATTTGCTTTGCTGAAAGAATAGTTACAATGCTTTTATGATATTTGGGCACTTTAAAGACTAAGGAGAGTTAACTTAAACAAAACTACTTTTATGTTTAATACAGTTTTAACATTATCCAGTTGCACAATGAGTAAATCAAACAGTTGAACTTAATCTTTTGATACATAAACCTGATTAAAAAGCAGATTGCTCATTTGTGAATTTGCCTCTTGCAGGCACTGTTATTACTGGTGGTTAGCACTTCTAACACTTTTTTTTGGTTGTTTTTAACATTGCCAGACTTTAACCCTTTGAGTTCATGTCCTCTGTGGCCAGTGTTGGCCACAGCACTGCACTGTTACAGGAGTTAGTAGAGACCCTGAACTGTGCAGTGAGGAAGTTGGAAGCTGAAACTGGGAATGGCTTGGAGAGAAAATTGGGGCAGTGCAAGAGGGACACAAGTATGTGGCAAAGGGTTGCTGATATGGGATATGTAATCCTAGTGCAGAGAAGGAAATCAGAATGTGCCTTGAGAACCAGATTAGGGCAACCAGAAGCTGCAAGGAGCAGAATAAAGGAATAAATGCATTTACAGCTTAAATATGGGCATGAATTTAGAGGTAATTTCTCATAGCTGAGATAGTAAGCACAGTGGAAGCACATTTGCTCTCACTGCCTCATGCTCAACAGTTGCTTAGTAATTTTTACAACAGCTTTCCCAAAATCTAGCTTCAAGCAGACCCTCAACTTGGAAACTCCAACTTTATGGCTACAATTTGCCCAAGCTGTAAATAATTGGTAACAGTGTTGCAAGTAATGTTTTGCAGCCTCACCTTCAGGGGGCCTGTTGAGTGTTGTGTGTAACTAATTCATTTTATGTGAAGTAAGCCTCTGGTTTTGTTCATTATTTTTTCTGAAACTGTTTTGTATTTTTTTTAGTTGACACCAAAACCAGTGAAAAATACAGCATTCAAACAGTAGTTTCCTATCATTACATTATTATTTAAAAGATAGCATATGCAATGTTTACTCTTGAATCTCATCTTCTTTTTGCCAGTTTCAGACATTTAATTTTATTTCCACACATGTTAGCCACACAATATTGCAGTATGAGTTACTAACAAAAAATACAGCAAAAGAAAAATCTGGCACCTTAAGGTGTTTTTTGTCTTCCAGAAACTTTTCAGGTGTTCATTTGCATGTGTTACAAATTGTGCCATAAACCAGAGTGTATTTATTAAAGTCCACTAAAAATGCTCTAATAACAATACTTTATTTTACTCTGCCTTTTTATTAGTAAATTGTATTGTAAATTAGAAGGTATTGTAATATTTTTCCTAAAGATAGCATGTGAATTTTTTTCTGGGAGGTAGAAGAACTTCCATAGGAAACAATTCAAATATTTATAATAGTAATATTTTTAATAGCAGACCATTTAATTATTAAGCAGCAGAAGTGTTTGCATAACTCATAGTCTTGTGTAACTGAAGATCAATGTGGATCTCTTTTGCTAGCTCTACACACATACAAGTTTTGTCCTCCCTTATTTCTTTGTTCCCTTTCAAGCACTGGCTGTTAAATAAGCAATTCCCAAAACTGCCTGTTCTATCTGACATTATTGATACAGGTGAATGCATACACAGTAAATGAAAATCAGGTTTTTTTTAATTGAACTTAAGTCAAATGAAGGAGCAGGAATCAACCATTTATTCTGAGTTGACTGGATCCTTAGCCTTTAAATCAGTACTAAATAAAGTAGATCAGAACCTTAAGAACATGGCTAGATTGAAAAATATGTATGTTCTTTGTACATGCTGTGGGATATATTGAACCTTATTCTTGCAGATCATTATGTACTCTAACTGTTCTAGATGCAATTATGACTTGGCTAAGCTGCATTTAGTTTCTTGTTTGGTATTACTTTCCCAAAGTTCCTCTTGGCTCTTATTTATTTGTGGTTTGATTTGGGGTAAACGAATTGGCACTGTCTAGCCTTTTATGCAGAGTTGGTAAGGCAAATACATTTTTCCATATTCTGGTTCATGTATATGTTAAAATGTAGATTACTGCCTATTTGTAATAACTTGTTCCACTTCTATGGATGCAGAATACAAAGGTATAACAAATTGTTCTAATGAGACAGATAGCTTATATTCAGACAAGTAACTAAATGTTTCCTCAAGTTGAACAGAAGAGATCTTTGAAAGTATGTGAGTGTCTAAATCTTTGTTGTATGGTATGTTGCATTTTACCTTTTCAAATCAACCCTATGTGGTTTGGGTTGATGTTTTATGTCCCACTGTGTGGTGGCAATTTTTTTAGCAATAAAAATTTGAAAGGAGGTGTTAAGGAAAGCCAAAGATTTAAAGTGTTTATACATAGTAGTTGCAGTAATTCCTATTTTGTATCGTTTTAGCAGATGCTGAAAGGGAAGAAGCGGGGTCATCTTCTGTCCATAGTGGAACAGCTCCATCATCATCATCATCTACATATGAAGCTAACAACACACCAACTAGTAATTACACTGGCATACATATACCACCAGGTGCCCATGCACCTGCCAACACTCCAGCTGAAGTACCTCATAACACAGGTATCTCCAAATCACAGCTGAGAAATCCATGCCTTCAATGGGAGATGAATTTTTGCCCAAATTCTAGTCCATCACATAGAAAGTAAAATAACACATTATTGTGTGGCAAAAGCGTCTTCATAAGCTAAAATTGTAAAAATGCCATTGGAAATATTTTTTAATGTTTTCTTGAAATATGTATATCATAGTTTGGAGCACTTTTACAGAATATATGTATGTTCCTAGACAGCAGATGTTGCAGAAATAACTTCATGATAGTCTGGTATGTTCTGGACATATTGCAAAAATACAGTTTTCGATCAAAACAAATGAGTGTACCTAAAATGTGAACACAGGTACAAGAACACTTCATATGGTCTGATTTTTTGCTTACTTTTAAAGTCAATAAGTAAAAATAATCAAAGTCCTTTTTTTGCATTGATTTGCAGGAGTGACAAGTAACACCATTCAGCCTGCTCCTCAGAATATTCCTCTGGTTGATCCTTCCCTTTACAGTGCTCAGTCTACAGGTAAGCTTGTGGCATTTGTATTGTTGTAGGTGGCCATACTGTGTCCTCTGTATCTCCCCTGCACTGAAGAAAGAAGTTTGAGAAATATTGTCACTATTATCTGAACGCTATTCCAGAATTTTAAAAAGAGTGGACAGCATCTAAGCATTGTGTTGCTAAGATTTTAGTAGTTTCTGAAAGCTGCTACAAAATGGTGTTGTCTGTCTGACTGCTTTGAACTAATGAGCTAGCATTGCCTAAGGTTTTTTATTATTTATGTTGTTGCTTCTCAGGTGAGGTTCTGATATACTTTGCAAAGTCTATATTCCTGATAGCCTTGCCAAATTGTATTTATTGTAATTAATATACATTCCCTTTACTTGAAATTTATTCTACAGGGTCAGCATGTAAGTTACTTATTAATTTCACAAAATAATTCATAAAACATTCAAGTTGCAGTTTTGTGCAGAATAATAGTGTGTGCTTCCTGACTGGAAGTAGCACTTGTGCTAAATGAAACAATCAATTTGTAAGGTACTGCTAATGATGTTATTTTGATGTACCATTTAATCAAAGCTTTTATCTTCCAGGATGTCATTTGTCTTTGATGTTGAAATCACTGATAACCTATATCATACATTATATATATGTATTTTATGTCTGCTTGCATATCCCATGCTTTGAAGTGTATACATAAGGGCTAACCCTGGGGAAATCATGGCTTGTGGAAGAGTAGTAACTGACAATAAAGCTGGAATCATCCTAGATTTTCATTTGAACCCTCATGTACATATGATACATGAGTACATATGGACACAGAGTTAACTATTTTCTAAGAATTTTTCTGTCCATGGAAAAGAGAAAAAAGTGTAAAAAACCTCCGTAAATTACATCTGTTTGGAATAATCAGATTTTTTTTGGCAATATAATGTGGATGTTGAATGAGGAGGAGGTCTTGGAGGCCTACAGTTTATCCTCATCAGGATATACTCTCATTAGTGTACAATATTATATGTAATTGCTATGTTAAGTTCTAGCACTAACCACAGTGAAACATTGCCTGTTATGACTACAAAGTTTAGATAGGTATGTTCTTGTATATTATAACTTAGAGATACTTAGTTACTTTATTATGTTGTTGAAGACTCTGTTAAAATAGCTGGTCAGAAAAAGCATTTTTGCTTCAATCAAATGCTATAGTAGGAATTTATTGTTCAACTTGTTTTTAATCTGCTGGCATAAAGAATGCTTAAGGATATTTCCATTCTAATATATTAGAAAGCCATTTTTACAGAAGAAATAAAAATAGCAAAATTTGATAGAGACATACTAATCTTTAGTATTCTCCTGAAGAGCAAAAGGTACTGTAGGTGCTACAGTTTTTCTGGCATATTACTGTAATCACAGAATCACAAGATAGTCTGAGCTGGAAGGGACCCAGAAGGATTGAGTCCAGCTCTGAAGTGAATGGCCTATACAAGGCTCAAACCCACAACCTTGGCATTATTAGCACCATGCTCTGGCCAGCTGAGCTGGCACTGATGTCTCATGTGGCAGTAACTCATTTCATTGAAAACAACACCTCAGACCTGTAGCTGTAACATTTAAACTTGGTGATAGTTTTTGAGTTTTGGGGACTGCTGTGGGGGTTTTGGTAGCTCCTCAACTGAAATGGCTCAAAGCTTTACTTAAGGTTTGCTATAGTAACTGCTAGTTGGAAGGAAAATTTTGTGATGTTTGGAAGCAAAGCTTTCATGTTTAACTAACTTATCATGATCTTCTAGATAGTCATTGTACCAGGTTTTTTGGTAACTACTCAAAAAATTTTGGTCATCATTGTTTCTTGATTTGAATGTTTGTTCCTGGTTGTCGAAAACGTCATAATTTAGATTGAAACATAGTTTTTTTAATTAAGTTGAAGACATTCCATTATTCATATCTGAATGGTATGATTGCATTGCTCCCTTTTACTACCTACCTGAGATAACCTGGTTTAATAAGTACATAAATAAGAAGGAATTAAGTGTGTTTATGATAATGCGTAATAAGTAATATTGTGTAATTCAAAGATTAAGACACCTGCTAAGCACCATGGTAAATCTCTTAACTTGATCTAACCTGCGTATTTGCATGCCTGTGTTCCTCCTCTGCACATCTCTGTGGTGTCACTACAAGTTTGGGTCTTGTAACAGCTCAAAGTCTCACATTCTTATGAGGGAGTGCTACAAAAGTGCAGGCAAGAAATGATAAAAGTCATACAGGTTGTTCATTTGAAAGCTTAGAAAACACCCTGTCAGTTATGCAGGAGTCTCAGAGAGCACAGGGGATGGATGTGTCAGCAGAGGTACACTGATAGTTTTCTTTGCATGTGTGGAATTAAGAAGCTTGAGAGGAATGGAAGGTGTTTGTCCTTGCCTGTCATTGTCTTGTTGTGCATTCTTCTCATGCTGCTGAGAAGTCCTTTCTATGCCAACAGTGGCCTTGTTCTCTAACCCATCAGTAGATTGAGAAATGCCTGTATGTGTTAATGGATGTACAAAACTGTGGGACCCATGAGCCCTCTCCAGTTCCTGAGCTGCAATATACATATCTGGGCTAGATCCTTGCTGCATATTGAGGTGTGTACCATTCCTGTGGAGCTGAGGTTTCCTTTGCATGAGAAGGAGGGATCAGTGTTGCCCTCCATCCAACAGATCCACAGAGCTAGCACAGTGCAAGGTACATTTGTTCCATGACTTACACACGATGTCTATGTCCATGCTAACAAATTACACAGGCTTGCAGATATTTGGCATGGAGAGTAGCTGGCACAGAACCTCTCACATCTATATTATTAAACTTTTAAACCTAAACAAGGTAGCTTGTTAAGACTGCTCATATTGAATGGTCTGTAGCTTGCTCTGACCACAGGTCATGCCCAGGAATTGTTTGGGAAAGTGCTAGTTTTCATGGGCCAACACCATACTGGAATCTGTTCCAGCAGTTTGATGCTGCAGACAGTCAAGTTTGAGTGCTGAGATGCCTTCCTTGGCAGTGTTGAATGTGGTAGTATAGGTATAGCCAAACAGGATATTCCACATACTCCTGCAAGACTCTTTCTTGTAGTAAGATCAAATGTATATTTTAAAGATAAATTATATCTTTGCTTTTCTACCTGTAACATGAGAGAAGCCTTTTGTTTAAAGCTGTTACATGAGAAAAACTTTTGGTGGAGAGGAGTAGAATATTTTATCAAAGGACGATTAAGTTAAAGGAATAGTGTTCTTTGATTTTTAGTTAGCATAAATCTTTCAATAGTTGTCCTGTCCTGTGGGAAGAGGTTTCAGAGTTTAACACTGACTTTTGAAAGTGTCAAAACTTTTTCATTTAAGCATGGGTTAATGTGTCTGACAACAGAATGTAGAATTATGCAGCAACTTCGTGTATGTGTGTGTGCACTTCTCTGATGTAGTTGTCTTAAAAAATTTATTACCCCTAGATTTTACTAACACTAGAGGCATTCATAGTTGTGCTACACAGATTTTATAAGATCTTCTTATGTTGCCATATGGTCCCTTCCACAGGTGGCATAGTATAAAGAAGGCATTTGTTCATTGTAGTTCTGTGTATAATGTTTGATATTCTACATGCAAAGTATAAATAATAATTTGACATTGAATGTGTTTTCATGATCATAAAAAGAAATCCTTGAGTACTTATATTTCAAATATTTCAAGTGATTTAATGGGAAAAAAAGAGTATCTTGTTTCAAAATCCATTTGTTACCTTTTCCATCACTGTTTTTATGCACCAGTTTGTATGATTGAAATGTTCTTAAATCATCTGCCTTATATTTGGGCATCGTAAAAAGGAAAGACATCTGAAGGGTAGAAAAGGATTCCAGGGAGAAGCAGATGTATTTATGTAAAATGCACATTACTTTCATTCTAAAACTTTTTTTTTCCCAAAATTATTTCAGCAGCTCTAGTCAAATCAGTTTCACTTTGTGTTTCTCTTAAACTAAGGGAATCATGCTTGTTGTTACAGATTCCATATTCCTGTCATGTTTCAGTAATATAACTACAGTCCTAATAATTTCAGATTAACACAGGGAGCAAGTTTGTTTCAGAATAAATACAGCATACCTTTTGTATCTCGGCGTTGTTGGGCTTTTTTAGAGCCAAAAATCACGGATACTTGAGGTTGGAAAGGACTTCAGGAGGTAGTCTGGTCCAACCCTTCTGCTCAAGGAAGGGTCATTGTCGGCGTACCTGTTGCCGATACCCTGACTTCTGGGACTCTGTCAGGGCCCTCCCGGGGGGCTCCCCTTCAGGGGAGACCGTTCTGGAGTGGTCTTGTGTCAGGAAAGAGAGATGCACTGGATCTTTCAGTCGTCAGGTTCTTGTTTATTGTTATCTTATCTAGAATTTTGCATGCTGTCCACACAAGGCTCAGCGCACTGGACCACAAAAGTGGCTACAATCTATTGTTACAAGGTCTTTTAGGACTAAACTATCCAATTAAGAACTGACACCTAGATTATTTCCCTTTTTAACCCAGTAACTGATCCCCAAAAGCCCGCAATGCAGACTTTTTCACCCAATTACAAAATGCCACCCAAACTCATGAAGATGGAAAAAGAAGGAAGAAGAAGAAGCCCAGGATGACACCCTGTGCCCTCCATCTTGTTTCCCTCCACTACATACTAAAAATCCTAAAACCTAAATTTCCCACCGAAGTGATACATCTACACTACTCTCTACAATCTACTTCACACTCTAGTGGATTCTAGTCTATTCTGGAGTTTAGGAAACTTTCTTCATGAATGAGGGTCAAAGTCAATGTTCTCCTAGGGGTTAGGGCACCCCAGAGCAGACAGGGAAATATTCCTGGTGCCCTGCGTTCCCACAGGTCATGTAAAACTAGTCACTCATGACCATGTCCTTTTTCTCTCCTCCCCCTGCTTGTGCACTCTCCCTGTGGTTTAATTTCCCGCACTGAAGAAGTTTGAGAAAAAAATGTCACTGCTAGTTCTAAAGATAGGTTTTGAATCTCTCCAGGGACAGACACCACAATCTCTCTGGGCAGCCTGTCCCAGACCTTGGTCACCCTTGGAAAAAAAAAACTGTTTCCTGATGTTCAGACAGGACCCTCCTGTGTTTCAGCCTCTGGTCTTGTCACTGGGCATCACTAAAAAAGCCTGTCTCTGTCCTTTAGATACTCTCCCTTCAGGTGTTTGTGTACTTGATATAAGATCCCCCTGAGCTCTCTTCTCTAGGCTGAACAGTCCCAGCTTCCTTGGGTGCTTCTCATGCTCCATTCCCTTAGTCATCTTTGTGGCCCTTCGCTGGTCTGTCTCCAGGATGTAAGTCTGTCTCTCGTGTGCTGAGGAATCCAGAACTGGACACGGCACTCAGGATATGGCTGAAAGGGTCAGGATCACTTCTATCCACCTGCTGGCAGTGCTCTTCCTAATGCAGGACAGGATGCCATTGTCACTCTCTGGCACAGGGGTGGATTGTTGGCTCATAGGCAGATCTGTGTCCACCAGGACCCCCAGGGCATTTCCTCCAAAACTGCTTAATCTTTGAATATGTAAATTGAGGTAGGTTACTAAGTTTTGTGGTTATACCTTTGATGCAAGTACAGTCATTGCAGTTAAGTTTTACTTTATTTGTAAAACTTCAGAACACAGAGCTGGTTTGTTTCTATTTTGCTTTTCCATTGTGAGGTGTCGACTTCAATAGGAGCTCAGGCTACTGAGCACATCAAAAGATCAACCCTCTTACTCTATATACTTTGGTTTATAAATTTAAAACTAATAATTTTTTTCCCTCAAGTGGTGTCATAATAGCATCTGAGGTAGATTTCATAATAAATAAGGCTTTATGCCAGCAAAACATTAATAGAGCTCATACTGTAAAAATAAGATTAGAGGGTGAATTTAGGCTTGCTTCCAATAAATTATTTGAATACTGGACTGATGCCCTGGCCAGTTTTTAAAGAATGATTTTGTAGTTTCTTTTGGCATCACAGCATAAAGCTACTTTGAGGGAAACTTGGTCTTTTTAATTTCTTAAAGATCTTCAGAAATGTGGTCACAGATTGACCCCAGCTGCTTTTTAGTCTGTGACTTTCCTGAGGTTACAGAATACCTGAGATGTGTGCCTGTGTTTATGCACTCCCTCGCAAGGATTTACTCACATGTGTATGTATTTTAAGAGATTTAATGTGGTTTCCCTTACTTAGCATGAAATTAATATACATTGCAATCATAATGAGCCCACCAAGTTTTTGTGTACCTCAATGGTTATATTTATTTATTGAAAGGAAAAGAAGTGGAGTTCTAGAGTACATTTTAAAAATTCATAAAAGTAATCTTCAGTGTGCTTACCTTTCGAATTTTATTTGGGTAGGGTTGTTTTAAAAATCAGCAGACCAGTCTAATTTTTAATGTTCCCAGGTTTGCTTTTTTATTTGTTCAAAAGCTCTACTTAAATAGTAAGATTGGGAGAAGGAAAAGTAAATATAACAGACATTTTTTGATAAGAAAAGAGATTCTTTAGTAAACATTCTCACAGTATTGCTAACAACAGTTCTATTTTGAAGGAAAGGATTCAGCGAATGGAAATTGTGCCATAAAAATGGCTTTAAGTATGTTCATGTAGTTGTTTAAGAGTAAAATGTACTTAGAGAGCTAAATCTTTGTGTAACTAAATTTTATGTAAAATGTATGGTGCATTTAAAAGCACACTTTCTATTAATCTGTGAAATCTATTCAGTGCTTATACCATACTGTGTGGGAAGTTATTAAATATATGCATAAAATTTCGTGGTTTATATATTTATTTATCTGTGCCCATAAAAATCTATCATTTACAAGTTGTTTTGAAAGAACCTGAGTAAAGATTTTATAATTTGTCCGTATTTGGATATATATAAATTTGTCCATTATTGGAGTGGCATGGGATTAGCCTTAAAATTCACAGTGAATTTGTGGGTGGAAGGAGGTACAGTAACACAGTTATGGTTTATTTTACACCCACGTCACTGATACTATTCACATATAAAATCTTCTGCCATTTAGGGCTTAAGTCCCTACTATGTCTTCTCCAAGACTGAATGCATGTATTTGAGCACAACATAATTCCTAAAATTTTAACTTACTTCAAGAGAACTCTGATTAATAAGTAACATACTATGGTTTATACTATATTATGGGAATATTTTTTGCTAGTGTTCTCCAATGTCACAAAAATGGGCACATTACATGACATCAATCTTGTTTTCAGACATCTTACATAAAATTGGCAACAAAAATTTTTTGGAAAAACAGAAACATAAAATGTGTGAAAACATGCCAGTGAGAAATGCTTCTACATTCTGAAAAGTTATTCCAGTTGGGAAGGAACAGTTTCTAACTATGTATTATTTCTGAAGGAAGTAGAGTAATTATGCTGTAAACACAAAAAGCACTGTACTTGTTTCTTGCAGGTTGTAACATGATTACAGCTAACTTAATGTCATATAAAAGCTTTCCTTTGCTGTCTTAGATGAAGAGCAGATCTTTCTCAAAGGTATTGGCTTACTTTTGAAAGGCACTGGGTCATGAAAATACCAGTGTTTAGAAAGGTCCTCACATTTTTCAATAGCAAAGAAGTTAAGCTTTATACGAATGGAAAGAAAAGAGAACAGAACAGAAGAAATACTGTACCTTGGTCTTTATAATACTACTACAAATATTAGCCTGGTTTTCATAATATTACCACAAACACCAGTAAAACATAAAAATCATAAGAAGGAAGCTTAAGTCACATTTCCTTTGTAGTAACTTTGTAATACTTATGTTTTTGCAGGAGAAGTCCGCTTGACTCCAGAGGACTTTGCCAGAGCTCAAAAATATTGCAAATATGCTGGCAGTGCGTTGCAGTATGAAGATGTGAGCACTGCTGTGCAAAATCTACAGAAGGCCCTCAAGTTACTCATTACAGGCAGAGAATGAAACTTTAATCCAACAGATTCATGTCTTTCACCTAAGGAACTAACAGTTTATTACTGTACCTGTTAGGGAAGTGGAGTTACACAGAAATTCTCAATCCCATCACTCATGACTATGAAACCACTGTTTCAGTGTCAGACTAGCAATTAATGGTACAGTAGGAATCTCTGTTTTCATTTTAAAGACAGTGGAGCTTGAAACATGAATGCAGTGGCTTGATGTATGCAAAATATTAAAGAAAGTACTGTGAACACCACTCAAGAGTTAGAATTCATTTTGGAATATTTGGACTATCAGAATTGGAAAATGCTCAATGTAAAAAACTTAAAAATTAGGATGTTTTGTTAAAATTTTTACTCCTGTTTTATTATTGCAAACAATTATTTAATAGATATAATAGCTTTAAAATGGTAACTAAGATTAGTGCTTTCCTCCTGAAATGAGAGGCTGAATGTGAGAAGGCTGACAGGTCCACACTGGGAAGGACTTTTCTATACGTAAATTATTTCGGTATTTGTATTATCTGAGACATAAGTCTAAGTTGAGGGACTCTTGAGGACATTTGTATTTCATTTGAAAATGTTCTGGAAAAAAAAATCTCCCGATACTTCAGAGGGAGTAATTTTGATGCTGTTCCAATTTAATCTCCCACAGATGTATGGGTTACTACATGTATTCTTGATTATTGGTTCTTGCTCCTTCTGTATGAACAATTAAAATTTTATATATCTGTATGAGTAATTAAGAGAAAATACTAATATTTATCAACAATGATCCCAAAACTGGAGGCAGAGATTCTAAATAATTTGAAATTTTAGGAAGACTCACTGAAAGAACAAAACTGTTCCATCTTTTTAAGAGGCTGAAAAAAAGCTCGTTCTTCATCCATTAAAACACTATAGTTATGTCTCTGGTATTAGTGTCATAGAGCTTTGTATTTCCAACTAATATTTTTCCTGTCTGCTTTGTTGTGAAGACTTTTGGACTTGGGATTTAATTAAAATATCTTGGAAACTGAATTTTGAGTCTTTATGAGGTCTACCACTGTAATTATAGATCTCCTGATTGTTAAAAAGCCCCCCATGCTGTTTAAAAGAAAGAATACACAATCTTTGAACTGGCGTGACATAATAATTGAGTACACCATTAAGCATGTCTGATATATGTAAAAATTTTAATGACATTCTATCTGATCTCTCTGTCTTTCCAAGCTGCTGGATCAAATCCATGTTATTTATTGCTGCACTGCTTTGAAGTGACTAAAATGAGTCTTATATTCAAAGCAAAAAGAAAGAAAAAGAAAATGAAACATAAGCATGCATTAAAGTTTAGCTGGTGGAATCCCTTTAAGTGTGTAGTGTCTTTGACAGCAGATTTCACACGGGTAATGTGAAACTTAAAAATGTGTGTTTAAGCACTTTAGTTGACTGAGACTTAAAAGATAAAATGTGGTATTTTTTGTGTTGCTTTCTGATACGGTATAGCATGCTAATCTTGGGTTAGATTTTAATCATTTGGGGAAATTTAGAATAAAACTATCGGAAACTTTTTTGACAGTAATGCTGTACAGACCTGAGCAGTAAGTCTGTTTTGTACAGTGTTTCATGCAAGATAGATCTCTCACTTCCGTATCAAACTGAATTACTGCCAGGTCTTCTGCATATATAGTTGTTGGTTTACACTGTAGCATTGCTATAAAGTATATGTAGCATTGCTATAAAATAGTCAGAAGTTCCTTTCATTTCAGGATCATACTACTATTTTTTAAAACAGCTTCAGTCCCCAGAATTTGTGGGAAAAAACTCAGTTTTCCTGTTTCTGTTTATAAAACAATAAAAAGAACTTTGGAGCTTTTGTATTATATGCAAAAATAAGTAAGCTATGATATAATGTTGTGTTGATTTGAGGCTTTTGAATTAAAGTTATTGGGTTTTTTTGTAATTGATCTGAAATGGAATACATAACTACGCTTGAAAATGAAAATTTAAGTATTTCTTAAAGTGTATAAAGTATTTTCTGTTGGCCGTGATTATAGTGTACCTTTTGGCTCCTCTATGAAACCAGGGAATCATCAGTAAAAAAGTGATAAGCAATGTAAAAGCCATAAGCAATTTGTTTGAATTATCATTTGCGCATTCGCTATCTTTCTTCCACCTAGAAAGAAATTAAAGTATATATTTCTGAGGGGAATGGAGATGAAAACGGTAATACAAAAGTTTAAGAATGTCTTAGAGAAGCTAACAAGACACATTCTTTCTGAAAATAAATTACTGTATAAATTTTCATGTAAAATGGAACATATCCTAATACCAACCTTCAGATCACAATACCTGACGTAACCTATTGAATTTATTTTCCATAAAATGATTTTGCTGTAATAATTTATTCTTAATTGAGAAGTTTTGTAACAGCTCATAAAACCATGTTTTAAACCCCACATTTAAGCTGCTAATTTTGGATGTAACAGACTGAATATTTATCATTTAAACTGATGCCTAAAGTAAATTATAGCAAAGCATTTCCATTCCATTAAGTATAGCCTCTGGGGCAGCTTTAAATACAGGAGATAGCCCAAAAGTACAAACCACTGTTGCAAGCAGTTCAAACAGTGTACATATTTGAAAATGTCAGGAGAATGTAGGTACATAGGCTATAACTATTCCAAATTGGAATTTGTAACAGGCACTGAATTTATGGCCCCATTGTTAAATGCTGTGTGAGTTTTTAAGTGTTGACTGATTCATTTTACAGACATTCTGAGTGATAAAGTATCAATACATAGCTTCTCTCAACTGCTTCCCCACACAAGTTCAATATTAAACAGAGTGCTGATTTTGTTCCATGCTGCAGTTAACAACTCTCCTTTTCAGTCGGACTGCCACCTACATACTTGTTGGTCATTCTTTGGATTGAGAGTTCTCAATCTTCTAAGTCTTGCTTAAGAAAGGAGAAGGAGGCCTCTGCCAGATTTTTATCAGGTATACCATGTTCAATTTTGCTACTTATGTAAGCTAGAATTTTAGTCAACCTGTTCAGTGTTTGTTACTTAAAAGGCTTTATGTTTTTTCAGTTCTTTGTATTTTCATTTCTCTCCAGGGAAAGTTCCATATTATAGTTCAGGATTCCTACAGAAGTCTTTAAAAAGTGCATTGTAGAGGAGGTCATCCTTTATGAAACGGTGAAGATTTTTTCAAATTAGTTGGATTTACTAATACTGGAAGCAATGTTCTCAAATTTTTGAAGTAATTTCAGGTGGAATATTTAACAGTGTCCTTTGTAAGTGAAGTTTAAGAAGCACAAGCTTAAGTATGATCACATTCCAGAATGTGATTGTAACAGTAATATTTGAGACTGTATAATACTGACCTATGAGAAACTAACAGCAGATAAACTTCTTGCCTGAAGTGGGCAAGAAATGGGGGGTGGAGGTGGTTTGTGTGCAGACATATCAGTGCATGTACAATATAATGCATGTAAATTCAATGGTGAGCTATAGGAATGCCTTTCAAAAAAACAATTATTACCTTGTTTACAAGCATTGGGAAAATGTCAGATACAAATATATAGATACTGCTGACAAATTTTGTTCTTAATGTGAGGTTTTAGATGTACTGGCATAGGGCCAAAAGTTAGCATTTAATTGTGTGGTATTCCAAATGGATGATCTTCGGTTTTCTTCTTTTCCATGTCAACTGTAAAATAGGAGCCCAATACAAAAAGAATGAGAACACAAATTCAGAGGAAGTTAAATTTACAAAAGATCAAATGTCATTTCTGTTATTGTAAAGTCTTTGTGCTAATGTTTTGGTTGAGATTGGAAAGTGCCCATGCTTATATAAAGTGTAATTCTTGCATACTTTTACAATATCCTTTGTCGTGCGGTTTATGGAATTACAGCCTGAGCCAAGATATCTGGGCTAGGAAAACCTAGATTTTTATGCCAAGTTTCTAAACCACCAAAGCATCCAGGTACTGACAGCAACCGTTTTTCACAATCACCTCAGTATCTATTTTTAAAAGTTGGAATTTTAACCAAGTTTGTTGGGAAAAGGAGCAATACTTTTTTCTTACTGCATCATCACCTTTCAGTGCACAGCTGTAGTAACAAGAGAACTGGACAAAACATGAATTTCCATTAGATATTTCACTATCAATCAAGAAAAGAGTATTAGTGCTGCCAGCAGAGCTCTCCTTGGCTTACAAGAGTATTGGAACAGTCTGATTAGAGACACTGTTGTAATCCCCTAAATGATCTCAGAATAGGAAACTTATCTATAAGAGCATTGGAAACAAACTTGAAAGAGGGAAGGCATATACCAGGGGAGAAAAAGAAATCGCATTCTTCACAGAATGAGAGCAGGCACAGAAGTGATTGCAGAAGAAATACTTAAAATCCCACATGGAATGGGAACAGGACAATGACTGAAATGAAGTTGTCTAATTTCTTTAGAACCTTGAAAGTGATGAGAAAAAATGCTGGCTCTTAAGGCAGAAGATTGCAGGGGAATAGAAGAGGTGGAAAGGAGCACTAGAATGACAGGGGAAAAAAACCAATTTTTTTTAATGCAGTCTGGAACAAATGTGAGTTAGAGCACAGGAGGAAGTTAACCTAGTTGACAAAATAGCAGAATATTAAGTTTAGCTATAAAAGGGAAGCAACAAAAATGCAAGTTGACAGCATTCTGAAAATGGAGAGTAGATCCTCTCATCCTAAGAATTTATGCTTATTAAATATGTCATATTTATTAAGTAATTAAAATTGACTTTTTGTGCCCTTTTGGAGAACTTGGGAGATTGCATAAGTTATTTCCTAGTATCTGCAAATAACTACAGAGGTCTGTTTGCCTTAAAATGCTGTCTACTGATTCTGTGCTTTCCTTCCTCTTTTGATTTGCCTCCCCATTTTCAGTGTCTGTGTTCAATCTGTGGTGTTCCCAGAGCTGGGAGGAGGTTGCTGTAGTTTAATACAATGCTAAGTCTGAGTGATAGCCTGCATGTTTAGGCATTCTTGGGTAATTAGCAAAGATTATCTGGTCTGGGTTTTAGCTGGTATGTGCTGTAAAGAAAGAGGTAGTCATTCTACTTCCATTCTTTGAAAAGCTTCAGAGTCTCTTTGGCTACATCTAAAGAAGGATATATGGAAATTAACTACTCAGAGCTATTTCACAAGTCAGAGCCCAACAAACTAATCTGTAGAAGTTTGGAGACCTCCAGCTAAGTAGTTGATGCAATTGTAAACTGTTCTTTGCCTCAATTAGCCCATCTATAAAATGGGATTATTTAGATTTAACGCTTATTAATATAGTCAGGATTTTTGTAATTCTGACAAGTAATGAGAGGACAAGGGCTGATTATTATAAGTTCCCCAAATAAATAGAAATTTTAGGTGAGGCAGAGAAGGTGGTTTTTTGGTTGGTTTTTTTGTTGTTGTTGTTTTGTTCTGGGTTGGGTTGGTTGGTTTTTTGTTTTTTTTTTTTTGGCTTATCTCAACCCACTAGTTGTTTTCCATCTTGTTTTCTCTCCCCTGTCCCACTGGGAAGGGGAGTGATAGAGTAGCTTGGTGGGCACCTGATGTCCCGCCAAGGTCAACTCACTACATGAAGAAACAGAAAAAATCTTGTTAGGATAATTTAGGGAACAATGGGCAGAAATTAGAAGATTTGAGATACAGAAACATTGTAGTTGTAAATGACAGGCAGGAATAAATAAAGTAGTAGCATCTAATGCAAATCTTAAAATACTGAATTTATCAGAGGTCCAAATTAACCTCCTTTCTACAATACTGAGATAAGTATAAATGCAGTAATAAGAACCTTGAATAGAATTAGACAATTGTATTAAAAAAAAAAGCTGTGATCAACTTTAGACCTGCTATTCTAACCACAAGACTAAGCAAGAGATTACTTCAAATGGTGAACAAAAGCCTTGGAAGTACAAATATGGGTATTATAGCATATAGTATATTTCCTCCTTGCCCTTTCATTCTTCCCCTCATCCCAAGTGGTTTGGGACATGGAGTTTTTAGAAAATGAATGCAATTAATTTAATTTACTTAAAATGAAATAATGCTTGACATAAGACTCTAAAATACTTGAATAGAAATAGATTAAGATGAGAATTGAAAACTGGATTAAAGCTGGTGGAAAAAGAGATTGCATAAATTCTAAATTATTTTCATAATGGAAATGGAGAGAGATCAGCCTAGGGACACATCCTGTTTCACATATCAGTGACTTAGGTTGAGGTCACCATCTAAGTCAGATGTAATTTGTGGATGAGATGAAGTTGGGAAGGGTTGGAAGACCTGCAGAGAACTGGGAAAATCCTGTGATTTTAACTGAAGGATTAGA